AAAAATAATTAACAAACTCATTTGTTAATTACTAAACCACTCTCGTATCGCTACTCTCGTCCGAGACTCCATCCGAGACTGCTTTTAGCAATGTTTAAGGGACCTTCACATACCCCGTCCACCGATAGACGCTCCAAAAATGTTTTTCTTGCTACTCAAAGCCCCTCTAACTAATCGGAAATGATTAAATAATTAATTTGCCAATTACTTAACCACTCTCGTATCTCTACTCTCGTCCGAGACTTGATCCGAGACTGCTTTCAGCAATGTTTAAGGGATCCTCAATTACCCTTTCTACCTACATTGGGTCCACAAAGGATTTTCAACTTATCTAATGCACCCTCAATTAATAAACAAATTGATTTGTGAAGGCATAAACAACTCTCGGATGCACTTTCGGACGAGAGTCTTTACTGGAGTTTGGCGCCCTAACCTCCGAAAATCCGAGAGTCGAATGAGTGTCCATTCCGAGAGTCCCTAGTCTCGGACTGATCCACCAGGGGTCATCCACATTTTATGTAAATGCCCTCTATTAGCACTCCGTCGCTATAAAATCTGGGGCCAGGCTTTCCTGAAACCAGAGGACTTACAACAAGCGGCTGTCACCAGCCTTATTAGCCTAGTGAGAAACACAGGGCTGGGGCTGTGTGACTGACCGAAACTAAGGCGGAAGTTACAAAAGATCGTATGATTTAGGTGACTGGGCGGTTTAAGTGACCAGCCGCACTTTTTCTATTCTATTCTTCTATTCTATATTTTTTATATATTTCGTGATACCTTTCGCCACGTAATGTCTGGAATATCTAAATCAGAGAGGTAACGTAAGAGATTCCTATGTAGTGCGTAGTACACAATAATATTATTAATATCAACAGCTATTGACAACAATGGGTAGCTGAATAATGTCGCAGATGATTGTTGCTCCACTCGTTGTTGCCGTCTGAATATTAGATGGCTGAATAAATGAATGGGTAAATACTCAAACAATTATTACAAAAAAAACAAGATATGATAATGCAAAATGAGCATGTCAGACACCACTATGCATCTTTTTTTCCTTCATTTTCTCATAGCTTAATAACTGCCGCTATATGGTGTATGTGTCTTCGCCACTATAGGACTGAAGGAAAAGTGCAAGTTTTCCATTGGAGCTCTTCATTTTAGAATGCACAAACCATATTTTCATGTACAAATTTCTATTTCGTATGCACGTATTGAAAAATATAATAGAAATTTCTATCGAATTCGTTGGAAAATTTGATTGGATTTCTATTGAATTTTGTATATTTTTTTTGCCGTTTCTATTGGCATGTTCGATAAGAAATATTATACAGGAAAAGTGGAGAAAAATGGATTTCCTTTATAGAATTTCGTTGACTCCAGTTTTACAAAGTTTTCAGCCAATTGCTTGAGTTTTTTAAGAATTTTGAAACAAACCAAAAAAATGGATTTCACCCTCAATTTCACCGCTGTATCATTGTTTTTGGACGTTGACTATTCTTTTATCCAATCCTCACACATACTGCAATTTTTTTATATTTTTCCTTATTATACAGTTATCGATTCATGAGCACCCTGAGTATCGAAAGTTACTGGAAGAAAATACCAAGCTGAAGAAGAGAGAAGAGAACTTTAAGGACATATGTGAGGACCAAGTGGAAGAGGAACTTTCCACTGCAAAAAGCACCCTCTTCAATACCCTTGAAGGGAAAAGCTCGGTTGCGGGACACCCCGTATACTGGAAAGGGCACTGCAATGCCAGACTCATAAAGGGAAAACGAGCCAGAGAGGAGTAGATTTTGGGGGCCACCTCTCTCACTCTCTTGACGGTGCGCATGCGCGTAACGTGTCAAACGACACGGTACAAGCGAGTTGAAAAGCTTAGGTTGAGTTATGCGCAGTGAATTGATGTGTTGAAGGTTATTTTGATACTAGAAGGATAAATAAATATTGGGACGTTCTACTTCTTCATCACAGTATTGGAAAGATCAAATAAAGATCAGAAACTCGAGGCATGTTCTTGAATTTGAGGAATTAATTCCTCTTGAAATAAAAATTTATATCATTCAAATATCAACTTTCTGTTTCAGGAATTATATTGGACATACTGAAATTTGCAATTTCGAATACTGAGGACGGTACTGACTCAGAGGATTCCGATTTCCTATCAGATTAATTGAATAAACAATCAATTGAATTGTATATTCTTATGTATTTTTTTCATGTCAATTTACTCATAATAGAATTGTAAATACCCCATGTATCAGTATACATTGGGAAAGAATAAAATTTTCAACTGTCACATGTTAGGAATTTGAATTTTAACAAAAATGACATGCAACCAAAAAGAACTGAATAGCAATGCTAAATTCTATACGTTTTGCACGGTAAGAGAATACTTTTGGAGCAGACGGTACGACAGAGACAGGTGTCCCCCAAAATCGACCCTCTCTCTCGACTCGCTTCGGGCAGCTCCGTGCCCTTTCCAGTATACAGGGTGTCCCGCAATCCACCTTTTTCCTTCGTATTGAAGAGGGTCCTTTTTGAAGTGGAAAATTCCTTTTCCATTTTTGGATCCTAGCATTTTTTTTGGTCTGACTTTTTTTTTGATTGAATTACTAATTTCAGGGTCGAATTTTTTTTTTTTACAATCGTTGAAATTTTTTATCGTTTTTTTATGCGACATGACCCTGAAACTGATAGCAGTGATGCCAAATGAGGGGAAAAATCCCACGCGTGGGAATTTCGTGCGCAGCTCTCTCGCGCAGTCCCCAGGTCCCCACTAGTGGAGAGGCGCAAAGCCTGTGGCTATAACCCAGCGAATTACATTCCGGAAAATCGTTTGACTAAGGAGAAAACAAATATAATGCAAAACAAAAATAATTATAAATGAAGAACAGTGATGCACTAATGCTATATTTATTACACGAGTGCAGTATTGATTATATTAGTGCACCATTCTACTTATTAATTACCCAATCTATCTTCCTTGTAGCTGATTTCGTTGTATCCGTCGAAAACTTACAAGCTTAATATGTTCCTTTAATAATTGATTTGGCATGATTGATTGAAAAACCGTTGCGGCTTCGTCGAATCCAGCCACGATTGCAGAAACATCCGGCTCGGCAGCGCTGAAATAAATATTGCGATTCAATCAAGCGAACTTAATCATTCGACAACATAATTAGGGCTCAAGAGACCCAGACGAGACTTCATTTCGAAGACACCGTTTCGCTCTAAAAAAATATGGAAATTTTTGGGACTATCTTAGTCTCAAAAGGCAGACTATCGTCATAGGAAAAAGGAGAGAACAAGACGAAATAAATTATCCTGGAGTCGTAAAAAGGGGAGAAAATACTATGCCTTTCGAGACTGAGACAGTCCCACAAATTTCCGTTTTGTTTTAGAGCCAGACGATCCCTCCAAAGTGAAGTCTCGTTTAAGGCTCGTGCGCACCCCTAAAAATAATGCGTCAACATCATTTCACGAACATATCTGGAACTACATTAATCCTACTGGAAGAAAATACCAAGCTGAAGAAGAGAGAAGAGAACTTTAAGGACATCTGTGGGGACCAATCCCTGCCACCTACCATCACTATCGGCATTCTCAAAGACACCTTAAGTGACGTATTCAAAGAACTCCACTTGAGCCGCCCGCAGGCGAAACTCATCGTGGGTCCTGACGGAAAGGTGTGTGTGTATGAGTGGGCGGGTTTGGTGGGAGATCCTTATGATTAGAAGAGGAAGGCGTTTCGTATCTCTTTTAGATTTTCGATTATCGAGGAAAATGAATCGAGTTTTTCATATCGGTGAATAAACAAAATATTTAAATTTCCTCAGGAATCGAATGAACTCAAAATCAGAACGCTCACGCAATTATTTCCCGAGATATGTTAGCTGTCATGGAATTGAGATTGAGTTTATGCCACTGGTAAATACCTTGATGGGCGCGCGAAGCGCGCCTCAAAAGTGCTAGTATCATATGACTTTATACGTTCATTTTCATTTTTAGGTGACTATCACGGAGAGATTCAAGTTGTCACTTCAAGAAGCAACGAAGCTAGTTAACTGCAACACTGTCCGACGCAGAATCGACCATGTTGTAGCGCGGTTCTGGCCTGCTGATTTTCGCCGCGACTTGTATACTGTAGTGACGAACAAGGTTCTGGCGAAAAATCCTCAAGCCCATGCAGCCCCCGCAGCTGACATGGCTGCCATCAAAGGTGAAACGCTAGTTCGACATTTTACAGCAGATGCATGCCTTCGGAATAGTCCTTATGCTGTTTTTTTTCCAGATATCATTACGTGGACACAGGAACGTGGGCCTCTTAATCAAACTGAAGAAGACAGGCAGTGGGAGTTACGTTTTGTTGATACGGTCAGAATAAAACTAAATTCCGACCGTTTTGTAAAAAAAACAAGGGGGATGACTGAAGCAGACAAGGAGGCTCGCAAGAAGGAGAAGGAGGAGAAGAAAAAACGCACAATGAAGCAAAAGTCCGATAAGAATAAGAAAAAGAACAAGTAAAGAAAAACCTAGAATGTAAGACATTATATTTTCTAAAGAAATGACCAAATAAACACAGATTTATATTAATTCTTGTGTGGAAAAGCTTTTGTCACTGTCGTTTTGTAGACTCGATTCTAAAATATGTCTAGCCTTGATCGAGTCTCAAACGATTTTCAAACCACTCGATTCTCAATTGATTGAGAAAGCTTTTCTCACAATCGATTTACAATAAGGGAATTCGTAAGTTGATGGAAACTCGATTCTAAAATATGTCGAGCCTCGATCAAGTTTCAATCGATTGTCAAATCACTCAATTATCAATTGATTGAGAAAGCTTCGCTTACAATCGGTTTACAATCGAGTAATTTATAAGTTGATTGAAACTCGATTTAAAATGTGTCCAGCCTTGATCGAGTCTTAATCGACTTCCAAACCACTCGATTCTCAATCGATTGAGAAAGCTTCATTGATATGACCTTAGCCGACAGATGATTGATTAAAAAAAAAAAAATTCAGGTCGTTTGTACTACGTCTGTACATGATTGTTCTAAGATCAGAACCGTTTGTTCCTCTTCCAATTATTTATTAAAAAATAATGAAAAAATGGCCCATGTACTTGGCCGACAAACATTAAAAATTATGTTTCCCTGTTTTTTGGGATTGTTAGGACCTAGAATCGTTTGTATTTTAATTGTTTGTCAATTTTATCGTTTGTTCTTGACAATTTTCTAGTTATTTATTGTAATTACAATAATCCAGTTCTGACAGAGATTATAAGGGTTCTGACTCGTAAACTGGCAACGACGGACCACAGGTGGTACCTAAGATGGCGGAGGATACCACCTGCCAGCACCCTCCTTTTTTTTAACATTCCATTATCAATATTAATCATGAAGCAAAGAGTGCAATAGTTCTTCATATCGGTTGATTATAAATCTTTTCGTTCCATATAACAGTGATTTAAAGTGTACAAAGTGCTCTCAATAAATTAAATACATCCGCCATAACCTCCAATTAATACATTTTGGAGCAGACCAGCTTAATTGACATGCGATCAAATGTTTTAACATCAAGTGATCCGACAAATACCCATGAAAATTCATTGGAAATTAGGATTAACAGTGAAGACAGANAAAATTCATTGGAAATTAGGATAACAGTGAAGACAGGTGAGTTTCAATTATCATTAAAGCATTTCATCAGTAAGGTTGTGGAACGACGAGGTTAGGGATGATGAATCACTTCTCCTCGAAGATTAGTTTTTCAAGTATTTGCGAACACGAACGTACAGCGGTTTTCTCTTTATAGCCCCATTGACAGTCCTATTTACTATAATTGATTTACATCTAATTTTACTCATACAAAAAAAAAATACTCAAAAAAACTCGTGTTACAAGCATCATCAACTACATCATCAACGTCTTCGTTCCTCATCCACAATGTAGAGCACTTACAGCCCCAGATAGTCTTTTGTTGAATGCTGCACTACCGGACACACATCAACCTGTAGTCAAACTATAACCCTTTTTAATCCTAATTTCAGGGATGTTTTCCAAGCTTCACCTCTTATGACGATTTTGGTCATGGAAGTAAGGCCAACACTCTGATCACTGGGACCTTTCTCATTCGAAATTAAGGACTTCAAATTTTCACACATAGAGATATGATAGAGGGACTGATAGTGTGTACGCTTAGAAAGGGCTGACTGGCCATTTTATGGCATCAGCGATCCATTGACTTCATCCAAAGCTCCGGTAGAAGGGCCCCGGGACTACAAGAAAAGGTCTTCGATTTAGTCAACGTCTTATACGCATTAGGTGTCAATACACAAGCTGAGAAGGACGAGGAGGACACCACGCAACTGAGCTACCACCAATCAAGGACCATTTTCTATGTGAAGGGGTTGGCCCTTGACTCCATCGTCATTTACTACCCTGAGGAATTCAACTGGCCATTAAGATGTCCAATCAGTCCTGTATAGTTGAGGCACTGTTGTTGATTCTTTGCTTCTCAATCAAAACCCTACGTTTCTCCATTTTTCACCAGCAATTATTCGATGTCATGTATATGAGAAGGTAATTATGGAACCGATGGGATTTCAGAGAGGCTTGGATGCACTGTTATTCTTATCATCGTGAAAATACTGATAATGAGAAAATAGGATGATTTGAGAGATTGTTGATGATAGTTTTGCTGATAGTTTTAGTAATGAGCTATTTTGGGGGAAGATCTCGGAAAATATTTCTTACGGGAAATTATGTCCACTAAAAACAAGACACTTTTGACATTTATTCATAAATCGAATAGTTTCAGAGAGATCTTTAAAAATAGTTCTACCATTTCTGTAATAAGCGAACAATATAAGAAATGTAATTACTACACTTGCAGTGATTGCAGGAGAGACAACTCGGAGAAAATTTTGGTACTTCACCGAAGCAAGGAAATGCCAATATTTATCTTCGCTTGTGACAAAAGAAAGGGAGAGCTAGAGAGTAAGACTCACCGATGACTTAGAAATAGAGCGACCCAGGATGCCCAGGAATAATACATAAAAGTTCTAATCATGACTCGCAATTCAAACCACTTACTCCGAACCAAATTACTAGTTGTTATATCTGTGGATCTCAGGTAAATTAGAGAAAGTACAATTGATTGTTTGGTAGATAAACTTCTACATTTTCGTTGAATAATAAAATCATCATTCAATGGCCTGGTGTAAATAGGCGGATTTCTTTGAAAACTATCAGGAATTTTACTTAACGAACTTCGGCAATAATTATACTTGATGAAAATTTCGCAATAGTTTAAAGCCGCAATATTTGGACCATATGTTGTTGAGCACATTAAAAAACTTCCCAAAATTTCAAATTGGTTTTCCACGCGAATTTTCGAAATATCATCGTCAATCTTTCATTTTTGACGCTTTTTCAATTTTTGACGATGCATTTCTTGAAAATTCGCGTGGAAAATCAACTCGAAATTTTGGGAATGGTTTTTCAATGTGGTCAACAACATATGGTCCAAATATTGTTGCTTCAAACTATTGCGAAATTTTTACCAGGTATACTTACTGCGGAAATTCCTTAATCTTTCAAATTTGAAGATAAAAATTATGAGTATTTAAAAGGTTTTGGACGACACGAAATGATATGATCAAATGAATGGAATGAGCAAGTGAAAAAATTAGTTTCAAAATCATTCAAAGAATTTTGAATGTATGAAAAATCTCGACAAAAAGTTAATCTATATAAGCAAGAGTACATTTTCAAATTCAAATATTCCAGTACTGTGCAGTGTCCAGTCTTTATATGCATGTAAACCTGAAGAACAAGTTCGACCCATCAGTGCAATTTATATTAAGATTATTTCTGAGAACGCAAAATGACGTACGAGAGCTCAGGATGAGTGAAATTTGACAGGGAAAAGATCTCATCATTATTATTTAATCGAACAATTCATCGGAAATAGCTGATCTGTGATCTTATGAGCACTCCAAACACCCCACTCCAAAGATGCTTTGATTGTCATTAGCCCTCGAGACAACGCGATTGCTTCAGGACATCGACTACTTCCAATTCCACTCCTCAAGTTCTCCAATCTGGGAGGAAATAGCAAAGGACCTGGGTCAACGCTGGAACCACAACTGCTACACGAGCATCAGCAAAAGATCGTGAAAATAGCTTGGGAGAACCAGGGCATTTTCCTTCTGAAGGAGGGACACGAGGCCAAGACACTGAAGATGCAAGCGAAGTTCGAAAACCTTTAAAAAATCAAGCGTTTTCCTTGGTGCAAATACCATGAGTAGATTACATGGTATTTTACAACAGCAATATCATTTGTGGTATATTTGAAGTATTTCTTTTTGTTTTCTTTTTTTCTTCATAAAACAATACTCTATATTGAATGGAATTACTAATTGTTGATCAGTCGTGAACTCCAATGCTAAAATATTGAAGATAAGGGCAGGAAACACAAGATTTTTTTTCAAGTAATATTGTTGTCAATCACATCAGAATTTCAAATTTATTGGCGTTCATTTTCAGTTCTTGCAAATATCAATTTTTAATCAAAGTTTGTTCATTCACCTTTCCTTTCAAAGTAAATTAAATTACCTTGGGGTAGAGCATTGTAATGCTGGAAATTACATTAGAATATGTGTGGAGTGAAAATGCCACGAGAATATATTGTCATTACAATTTATTATTCATGTGAGTTAATTTCTACCACTTTCCAATGACAAGTTTTTTGGAAACTAAAATTGGATTTTCACACGAATTTTACGCAATTATGATTTTTAATGTCCTCAGCTGGATACAAGCACTTGGTAAGGAGGCTCCAATATCTGAAAAAGTATTAATTTTTGGTCTCTCATCCTGAATAATTTAATGAAAAGGGTAATTTGAGTAATTAATTATTATGTTCATTAGTACCTATTATAAATATAGTGCAGTGTTCTGATAGAGAAAGGTCTCTTTAAGGAAGCCACGAAAAATNCTTCAAATGTCAAGACACATTTTTTATATGAAATTTTTCCAGCTATGATTGTATAGAATTGTTATTTGAAATGTCAGTGAAGCTATGATTGTAAAGAATTGTTATTTAAAATGTCAGTAAATTCGTTCTGCAATTATGTACGTTGGATCCGTCGGGCCATGTGATGCTGTTGAGTAGAAATGTTTTGTAGACGAATGGAAGCATGAGAAAGCGAGTTTAATCGTCGTTAGTTCGTCAAGTTTGAATTTTATTAGTTTAGCCATGAATACTCCCAAACTGCCAAACACTGTTATGCATCTAATGACACGAAAATTAATTTTAGTATTAATTCATTATCTCGTCACATTAATTCAACTCTTTTGTTTCATATTTATGTACTGGAAGTGAAATACTGAGCTCATTTCCATAATTCTATTGCTGATTTTTCTGCAAGCAATGAAAGTATCTTATTAGTTACGATTTGATACTCAGTAAATATCAAAACGACATGAGTTGATATGACTTAATTTTTTGTTGAATATCCTCAGAATGTGAGAGATACTAAAATGGTTGATATCTTTTTTGTAGGCATGAAATGTGGAACAATGATCTCAGTATATTTTTTAGAATTTATCAAAAAGGAAATAAAGATTTGATTCTTAGATACTCTCATTTTCTGTAACTAATTCTTAATTCAGATGAATCTCTTCTCGAATTTTAGAAATGAACGACTATAAAATTCAACGGGGTAACTTTTCGAATTCAGTTTATTGCTAATTTTCAGAGACTCATTTCAAATTTTTTTAAATGTATCACCTCATTTCAATGATGGAAATCTTTGATACTTTCTCTTTTCACTTGCCTGACTTTTCATTTTTCATTCGACTATCATTTTCGACAAGTAAAAATTTATAGATTTCAATAAGGAGCTCATCTTGATAGATCTACATCTGATCTGCCCTGATGAAAAAAAGTTGTTTGACCAATGTTTCTCGACTTCTATTAGTAAACTGAAGACTCAACAATTTTTGAGAGTAGAATATCTACGCTGACAAAGTAAAGAACTTTCGATATGAAATTCTTAATTCTTTCATAAGAAGAAATCTATTCTAGTTGAATCAATTTGGTCAACAATTTCTTCGTATCAAATTCAAAATATTTGACTACAAAGATGTAACAATAAAAATTATTGACGAAAGTTTCTCTCCTCTCAACACCAGGCCCTTAGTTCAGAAACTTTTTAGCCATGAGTTTCGAACATGATCAAAGATGTACTTGTCAAAGGAATAAAAAAATTTTTTCACAGACTACAATTCAGATCTTCACAACTTTCATTGTCTCCATTAAATCCTAAGTTATTTTCTAAAAACTAAAAGATCTGAGAATGAAATTGATTCATTCTGTTTTATCTATTAATTAAAAAATAGAGAAAAAAAATTACCAGTGGGTGATGGACGAATTTCAACATTAAAAATGTGTGCCCCACAGATGCAAACAAGTACATCAGTCAACAGAACGAAACACTGCAACAGCGGTTTCGTTCCGCGATTCCATAATTACATTCTCATGACATAGGGTTTCATGCAAAGAGTCAACAACAGACTGTGCATCAACCGCAAAGGACTGATTGGACATCTTAATGGCCATTTGAGTTCCTCAGGGTAGTAAACGACGATAGGGTCAAGGGCCAACCCCTTCACATGGAAAATGGAAGTCCTTGATTAGTGGTAGCTCAGTCTCGTGTTGTCCTCCTTATTCTTCTCAACTTGTATTTTGACACTAAATGCTTATGAGATGTTGACTCATTCGAAGACCCTGTCTTGTAGTCCGGGGGTCCTTCTACGGGGGCTGAGGATTGAATGAATGAATTGTTGACGCCATAACTTCGCGAGTTAGGCCTTTCTGAGTGTATACACTATTAATCTCTCTATTATATCCGTATGTACAAAAATTTTGAGTCCTTAGTTTTGAATGGGAATGGTCCCAGTGAGTGATGTGTTGTCCTTACTTCCATGACCACAATTTTCCTAAGAGGTGAAGCTTGGAAAACATCCCTGAAATTAGGATTAAAAAGGATTATAGTTTGACTCTGAATACAGGTTGATGTGTGTCCAGCAGTGCAGGTCACCATTCAAGAGAATAAATTATCTGAGGCTGTGACTGCTCTAGATTCTGGATGAGGAACGAAGACGTTGATGATTTAGTTGGTGATGTTCGTAAAGATTTTTCTGTTTGAGTATCCTCTTTGCATGAGTAGAATGAGATGCAAATCAGTTATTGTAAATAGTACTATCAGTGGGCCTATGAAGAGAAGATCGCTGTATTTGTACAATCAATTTTTGTGTTCTCAAATACTTTACAAACTAATCTCCGAGAAGTGATTCACCATCCCTAACCTCGTCGTTCCATAACCTTACTGATGAAATGCTTTGATGATGATTGAACCTCACCTTTCTTCACTGTTATCCTAATTCCCAATCAATTTTTATGAGTATTGGTCGGATCACTTGATTTTAGAAAATGTTATCGCATGGAAATTGAGCTGGTTTACTCCAAAATGCATTCATTGGAGGTTATGGCTGATATATTTAATTTATTGAGAACACTTTGTACACTTTAACATCACTGTTATATTTAACCAAAAGATTTATAACCAACCAATATGAAAAACCATTACATTCTTTGCTTCATGATTAATTAATAATGAAATGTTGAAAAAAGGACGGTGGTGGTAGGTGGTATCCCCCGCCATCTTAGATAACACCTGTGGTCCGCCGGTGTCAGTTGACGAATCGGACTCAATTGTCGTAATTACAATAAATAACGAGAAAATTGTCAAGAACAAACGATAAAATTGACAAACAATTGAAATACAAAAGATTCTAGGTCCGAACAATCCCAAAAAAACAGGGAAACATAATTTTTAATGTGTCGGCCAAGTACATGGGCCATTTTTTCATTATTTTTTAATAAATAATTGGAAGAGGAACAAACGGTTCTGATCTTAGAACAATCATGTACAGACGTAGTACAAACGACCTGAATTTTTTTTTTTTTCATAATCAATCATCTGTCGGCTAAGGTCATATCAATGAAAGCTTCTCTCACAATCAATTTACAATCGATCAACTCGTAAGTCGATCAGAACTCGATTCTAGAATATTTCTAGCCTCGATCGAGTCTCAATCAACTTTCACACCACTCGATTATGTTTCGATCATAGTTCACATCAGAATCGATCCTCGATCAAATGCCAATCGGTTAACCGAATCACTTGATTCTCACAATCGCAAGTAACGTAGTAGAAATGACGCCGACGAAAATTCAAAAACAAAATTCACGATCTCACTAGGAGCAACTACGAAAGATTACAGTGATTACAAATGATTACGACTTAATTGCTAAAACTTGATTACAAATATGGTAATCATGTGATTACAATGATTACATTGATTTCACTGGGATTACATCAGCGAGTGACACCACGATTACGTCGGTGAATAGTCCCTCGAAGGGGATAAAATATTTTATATTTTGATTTGATATCAAATATGAGAATTGCTCTATTTATTTACCTTATTTCATGTGTTCTTTCTCTGTTTGAATCTAGTCCCGAGTTTCATGTTAATGAATATCATCGTCTCACATTATTGTTGTGGATTTAATCATCAAAGGGCAAATAATCTAACCTGTTATCTTTTGTTGATCGATTGTGGATGCAGAAACTGCAACTGATGCCCCCGAGCACAGCAAAATCTCGAGCTTTAAACGATTATTTTTCAAAGCATAAGTTTAATTAATTCTCTTATCTAGCAAATAAAAGAAATTCAGAAAAAAAAGAACGATAATCAAACTTTGTATTTGCTTATGCTTCATCTCGATTTTTGAATAAAGAATAATGAATTTCTCATTGATCTCATGTTTTTACAGGGGCAGAAACTAGATCCGTGATGGAATTACAACCGAATTAAAAATTTAAAAAATAACAATGTGCCAGTGTCACATTCCCTCTTCCCCTATTAGTGAAATGAGATATGAAAAACTCGAAATCAATTGAATTCTCTTATATATTGATGCAAGGACTCATTTATTCCAATGCTTAATTTTTCGAACATATGTTTCATATTTTTGTTTACAAGTTCCACTGATACATTCATACATTCATCGTCTTGGTCGACTACCTAAAATAGTCAAAAACCTGACACAGATCACGGTCTAGTGCGAGGACACGTGTTGTCTATTATACATGAACCGTTGCGGCTTCGTCGAATCCAGCCACGATTGCAGAAACATCCGGCTCGGCAGCGCTGAAATAAATATTGCGATTGAATCAAGCGAACTTAATCATTCGACAACATAATTAGGGCTCATGAGACCCAGACGAGACTTCATTTCGAAGACATCGTTTCTCTCTAAAAAAATATGGAAATTTTTGGGACTATCTTAGTCTCAAAAGGCGGACTATCGTCATAGGAAAAAGGAGAGAACAAGACGAAATAAATTATCCTGGAGTCGTAAAAAGGGGAGACAATACTATGCCTTTCGAGACTGAGACAGTCCCACAAATTTCCGTTTTGTTTTAGAGCCAGACGATCCTTCCAAAGTGAAGTCTCGTTTAAGGCTCGTGCGCACCCCTAAAAATAATGCGTCAACATCATTTCACGAACATATCTGGAACTACATTAATCCTACTGTGGTCACCTGACGCGCACTTGCGACTTTAGTGACCCTGCGTGAGGATTTGCCACCGTGTTATTTAGCCTCCAGCGTTGTCGAATTTACTCTACACTGCCCGAGCACGTTTAGCGAGTTTCCGGCAACGTCGCGCAACGGGAAATTTCATTTAACATGGGAAATAATTGTTCCACTGTTGGAAATGCTTTTTTTTCTCCGAGAATTTGAGATGTATTTGAATTGGAATTATTTGAACATGGATGGCAAGGAATAAAATCATAAATTCATAATTCAATAATATTTCTTACCGCTCCGGGACAAATTGGTCTACGATTAGCACAAGTCCGTGGGCAGGCACGGCCACATGTCCTCCACGATGATCCGACAGCGCAACGTGGGGGCCTTCCAGGTTGCGCGGCTGTGAAAATTATCGAAATATTAACATTCACACGATCATCCACTAAGTCAGTTTTTACACGCATTAGGAATTTGATAAATGAAATACTCACAGGTGGTGTAGGCTAACACAAGGAGGACAGCGAGGATGAAAAGAGCACGCATCTTGGAAAATTTCCAAAAGACAAAGTTAGATTGATGTGAACGGGCTCGCACATGACCTTTTTATACTACTCCATCTTATAACGAACATTTTTTTAATTAATTTCGACGAGTTTGTATTATAAATATCTCGTATTCCATCCCGATTTTCGCTTCTTTTTCCTCATTATGACAATTGGGAGTGAGAAATATGGAAGGTAAATAAACAGGGTCATAATCCTAAGGAATTTCGAGGGTACATCAGGTATGACATCTATAAGCATTAGTTCAGCCCAGCAAATAGTATGTCGATAAATTGCCGGTGTTCTGTTAAATTTTAGCTGGCACTGGTAAAATTTGTTTTCTGGAAAGTGTTATGATACCTCTTTTATCAATTCAGAAACGAAAATGTTCTTGATTGGAGAATTCCTAGTAGAAATTTTGGCGGGCGGGATGACAGTCGGTGGGTGCACACAGAAAAACCTAAACGTAAATTATGCCCAAACAAAGCGTTTTTTATTTTAAATAACATCTTATATGAGAGCTTGGGAGAAAGATGGCGGGATGAGGTGGTTTCGGGCCAAGTCGGAAGGGAAAAATTTTATTGTACTTTGGCGTTATATATGTAAGATATAAAGGTTAATTAATCCAACGATCGAAGAAAACGCTGATGGAAGAATGTGAGAGTCAGAGGAAGTGAGTGCTGGGGTGGATAGCATAACCATTAGGACAAATGCAGTTTTGAAAATTTTGGCAGCCATAAAAGCATCACTGGCGACATCGTTTAGTCAATGAGTGAGGCTTGCTTGGAATCATCGAGCGAGGAAGAGTGGAGAGGGCTGCGGAAATCGAAGGCGCGGGAGAGTCGTCAGTGGTATGGCCGATGCTGAGAAACTGTTGGTTCATTGGCAGGATGGGATATTGGAAACAGACACGTCGGCAGCATCCCGAGTAGAAACAAAGAGGATAGACCTGAATAGAGGCCCGGATCGGGGGGTTTGACTGACTCCAAAAATGTTAGTTGGTACCCCACGGGAAAGGCAGCGTCCCGGTCGAATTGTCGGTAAAAAGTGAGTCGGGTGCGTGAGTAACTCGGCAGTAGCAGGGGGGTCAAGCTCAGATGGTGAATAGTAGATCGTATTTCGCAAGAATCGACCACTTGGTGCGCTGTTATCAGCGGAATTGATGGCGGAGGGGGTTAGAAGACAAAGGTGGTGTTAGCTTGAATTCATCTCAAGATTGAAACTTATATGAATAAATGGATATTCAATAACAACTAATAATGAGATAAACTGAACGAAATGGAGGAAATGAATGAAAATTAGTATATGAAGGAAAGTTGTCAACAAAAAGTGCGATGAATTTAGTAAAAAATGCAATGTTGTCGTGAAATCTTTATTTGAAATTATATAGTATTTAGTTTTTACTTACCGATTTTTTTACTTCAGAGTTCGCTTAAAAACTATACACCACGATCAATCTAAATTAGATTACATCACGCTATAAACTTTTCTCCACGTATTTCTATTGTAATTCAATTAAAAGTTCTATTAGTCTTTAGTGAATTGTCGTACAAATTTCGGGTGTCTTTTTTACAACATAATCAAAAGAAACTGTATGTAAAAAATAGAAAAAAATTTGGTCTCTACAGACTTTTCATACTGAAATATTCGGTATAGGAATTTCTAGTTGCGATTCTCATGAAGTTCTATCCATATTTTTTCTTCTTTCTAATAAAAAGAAATAAGTGAAAAACATCATCAATTTCAGTAATGAATTATGATTTACGTGGGCAACAATGAATAATGGACTATATGATAACATCAACATGGATTAAATTATTGAACATTAGTAAAACAACTTACATTAAATTATGAAAAGAAAGAAATACCCAGCAAATCAGGGATTTCGGAAAAGGAAAAAGTGAGGACGAAGGGCAGACATGTTTTTGACTTACACTGTTAAAAATTTCTTGGAAATTCAGGGATGACTCCACTTGAATTTTCAGTGAATTCCAATTTTCAATTTCAAATTTTGAAAGTTGGAATTTTCGCTTTAAATTATCAAATTATTAGCAGAGCAAACCAAATGGTTTAAAATGCTTAAATAAATTTAAAAAAAAAAATTATCAAATTATCATTGAAAGTCAAGTGAAATCTTGAAGCTTCGGCAGACGTCTTGAATTTATAAACTCGTTGCGAAAATTGAACATGGTTTTCATTTAATTTTTCTTGCACTTGATAACTCAAGCAAAATATTAATTGAATTTCCAGAATTTTTGGTAATTTTCATGATAATATGGCACCTAAAATTATAATTTCGTTGAATATTCCAGATTTAGAATGAATTTTTAGTAACAAAAAAACTTGAATTTTAATATGAAAGAGTAATTGTAAGAAATTCCAAAACTGTTTTTTTTTTAATTTTAGGGATGATTTTCTAACAATGTGGATTCTGGTTGTTTCATTTAAATTATAAATGAAGATGTTATTCAGTAGATGTTGAATAACATCGATGAAAATCCAAAAATTAAGCATTCATTCGGCAAACACATATGAAAAAAGCTTATAGAAAACTACGACTGATTCGTGAAAACCTTCTATTGACATTTTATTGAACTTCTTATAAGTTTGTGACCGTTTCTATTGACATTTTCAATAGAAAATAGTGCGTAAGAAATTCAATAGAAACTGATTCTTCTATAAAACTTTTTCTATTTAAGGGCCGTCCTGCTAATGAGTCACGTGACCAAATTGATTTTGCAAATTACAGCCAAAATAATTTTTTTATTTTGATGAAACTTAATTTCCGACACGCAGTTATGATTCTCGCGTGTCGGAAATTAGGTTTCATTAAAATCAAAAAATTGTTTTGGCTGTAATTTGAAAAATCAATTTGGTCACGTGACCCCTCAGCAGGGCGGCCCTTAAACATTTTCTATGGACTTTCCTTGACTCAAATTTTCCAACTTGTTTTTTCTATTTTTCCAATGACAAGCAAAGAGGCATGGAATGAAAAAACACGAAAAATTTGAGTTGAAGAAATTCTATAGAAAATATCTCAATACAAAAAGTTTCGTAGAAAAACCGACTTCTATTAAACTTTCTATAAACAATTTTCTGTTACAAATGTGTTTGAGTCAGCCAAAAACTCATAGGAAGTTCAATAAAATTGTTCAACGAATTCGTTGGATTTTTTTTTAAATTTTTCATACGTAAAATGCTGTAACATTTTTAACTCTCTATTAGTATTCTATTCTATCTAACTTAATCAGTCTCACTTCCATCATTCGTCTTCCTTTTTTTTGCGATTGGTTCCTGTGAATGTTCATTTTCTTCGTCTTCAGTCTCTGCCACTTCTTTCTCATCTTTAAAATACGGCTGTGAAGATGATGTAGCAATTTCGACCTTTCTTTTTCTTTTTTCCTCTCTCTTCTGTTCTTGTTCCCTTCTCGTAGCTTCTCTTTCTCTGTCTCTCCTCTCCATCTCTTCCCACCACGATACTGGCATTCCTTCTTGATTCTCTGGGTAGAGATCCTCCGGCCATGAGGCTGAATTCTTTCCAGCAATTCCTTCATCAAAATCATCTTCTTCAGCTCCTTCATCTTCTTCTTCTTCAGCCTCACCTTCTTCGTCTTCAGCCTCTGTCACTTCTTTCCCCTCTTCAAAATACGGCTGTGGAGATGATGTAGCCACGTCAATTTCCACCTTCCTCATTCCATTTTCTTTTCTTTTTCTTTCTTCTTCCTCTCTCCTCCTTTCTTCTTCCCTCCTCATAGCTTCTCTTGCTTTGTCTCTCCTCTCCAAATCTTCCCACCACGATACTGGCATTCCTTCTTAATTCTCTGGGTAGAGATCCTCCGGCCATGAGAATGAATCTCCAGCTGCATCATCTCCACATCTGGCTTTTTCCTTTACCTCCTCCTCCTCCCATGCTTGAGGAATATTGATGTTTGGTTGATGGGTGCCGAAACAATACTCGCTCTCATCAGACGAACTTGTAGGTGAACTCATTTTTCACTTGAAGTCTAAAATGAAAAGAATGAAAGTGATGCATAGAAAAAACCAATATGGTCGGATTTTTGCGTGAAATTTATTTTAATGGCAAATTTTTTATGAGCAATTTCACGTCAAATCCGAAGCCCCAATAATTCGATATCAGAGGTTTTCTTGCTGATTTTTTTCTGAAAAGATGTTTTTTTTTCACACTTTGCCCATTCAAAAAATTCATATCTCCCGAACGACTGCGAAGGACTGACTTTCATCGGCGCCAAAATGTTCGTCATTTTATTGATAATTTTCGGTTCAAATTTCACTTGAAAAAAAAATATGTTTTTAAAAAAATTGCATTAAAAAAAACATTTTACCTCATAACTATCGTAATTTTGAAGCGAATTAAAAAAAATCACATTTCATTTTGAAGGATGTTTTATGTTCTCTAAGTATGCCGAAAAGAAATTTGATTGCCCTTATGAGCCTTGGAATATTGATAAAAATTTGCAAAAAGAAATTATCACAAAAAAACACTCAATTTTCAAAAAATCATTAGTGCTGGAATTATTAATAATTTTGACTTATTTGTTTTGTTTTGAAAATGTTCGTCTGATGCCTATCTTTCCCAAAAAAAATCAGCAAGGCAATCCTTGACGTCGAATTTTTGGGACTTCGGAATTGGCGTGATACTGCTCTTATTAAAATTACTTTTTTGAATTTTTCATCATTTTTTTTCAATAAAAATTAAGGTTTCCAAAAACACGATTCTTCAAATTTATTCACTGGATTTTTATGGATTCCGAAAAAATAAAAGGAGAAGACATTACTTTTTGTTTTGAGTAGAATTGGCGAAAGAAATAACTAATTGAGAATAATTCGATATGATGCGCTGCTGTTTCATTATTGATTTTTATTGTTAATGACAATTATCTGAACTATTGGCATTCTTACCTGCGGCAGAAAGGAGTTTCCAGTTGAAAAGTTGATTATAAGTGAATTATTAAGTGCTAAGAGATTCCGGAGAAAAGGCAAAATATGCCAAAATCGTCAGGGTTACTCGAGATTAGAAAAAACAAAAACCAACCGGCATGCCGCTACTGCCCCCTCCTCCACCAGGATGGCACGAGGAGACACAAAAGCCCACGGAGATGATGTGCATAGCGTCGCTCATGCATGCACCAGGTAATTCAAAAACAAATTAACGGATAATTAATTAATTCGTATGGAACAAAACAGAGAAAATTGA